TAACCCTAAAAAACCATTCGTGCTTAGTTTTAAAAGTGTAAAAATTTGTCCTTGAACAAATGAGAAGGAAGTGGAGCGAGGAGGCCACTTTAAGGGTGAGGGGTCATGTTCCAGAGGAAAATGGGTAGCTCAGTGGGAGACGACATAGCAGTACTGAGGAGGATGGTACGGTTCTGTGGTGAAGCATGGCCCTGAGGCTTGACTTCAACAGGAGAGATGCTAGTGAGCAGAGTAGATGCTGAGTGCAGATGGGGAAGAGAAATGGCGGCAAGCTCATCAGACTTTGTGTGTCATAAAGAGTGATTGAAAATAGCCAGTGGAGAGGAATACGATCCCAGCTGCATTTGGGATTTGAAAAGGAAGGCACCAGGAGAGTCATAACTTGAGAACTGCAATGGTCAGAAAGCTCTGAGGGTATGTCTACACTAGCCCCCTAGATCGATCCAGGGAGGCTAATGAGGGTGATCAGAATTGCAAATCAAGCCCGGGATTTAAATATCCCGCGCTTGATTTGCATGTTCCCGGCCGGTCGCCATTTTAGAAACGGACTAGCCCGAAGTAACTGCCCGCGTCTACACGTGGCAGTGAAATGGGATTCCGGAAGAAAGCCCTTAAACTGAATTAGGTGGTAAACCTCATTCCACGAGGAATACCACCTAATTCGATTTAGGGCTTTATTCTGGAATCCCGTTTCACTGCCACGTGTAGACGCTGACAGTTACTTTGGGCTAGTCAATTTTTAAAATGGCAACCGGCCGGGAACATGCAAATCAAGAGCAAGATATTTAAATCCCGGGCTTCATTTGCAATTCTGTAGACGTATACTGAGAGAAAAGGCCAATCTTAGCACATCTGTCACAGTCAGCTGTATTTTTGGCTTCTTTTTCAGTCTCTTCAAGGGTACCCTTTTAAGACGATGCTAACAGCCTGCGCTTTGCTCGGTGTGCAGTCCTGTGACTTACCCTGCCTTTAAACCGGGTCTCCAAGCTACAGCATCCCTATTTACTAATGATGTTTTCTTACCAACTCCAACAATTGGGTATGGAATGAAAATGCAATGACTCCACATAGCTTCTTCAAAACAAAATGGATTTATTTATTCATAAAAACATGAGGGGGATAGGGTTAAACCAAAAATACCTCTATGCCTATTACCTCATCTAATGCCACATCTAACTTAGTTCTCTCACACACACCACTGCCTCCTTCTGTCTCTCTCTCCTTTTCAGGGTTGAGGTTAAATCTTCATCTCATTTTCTTCCACTTGGATTGCCCTTGTCCCATGTCAGTGGCCTGGGCCAAAGTAAGTTTCCAAAGGCTTGAAACCTGTATTTTCCCTTAAGTATTAGTGATTGAGGTGTAACTAAAACCATTCCTGCAAATGTGGAAATCTATACAGGGCTGAGTTATCTTTTTGCACCCATGCAGCAGAGAGCAGAATGGTGTTCAAACAAATAGAAGTACACTTTTGCACCCATGCAGAATGGTGTTCAAACAAATAGAAGTACACAACATCTTCAGAAAAAACAATGCACGTATCTCCCCCACGGTTTTAACAGACTCTCATGTGGAAGTCTGGTAGACTTGAGCCTGTGGTCAACAGAGCATGCTTAAAATCAAGTGGGACTTTTATAAACTACTTATGGGAATCATATCACTGCCCCTGAAATGCAGGCACCTCTAATGTGAAACATATCAACTGTGCTCCAAAAAGCATCCAAAAAAGATGCTAATGAAAAATTCAATTGAAATTAATCTGACTGCTTTGGGTGGTAAGAAGTGCAAGGATAGCACTGCAAATGGCTGCCCCATTCTAGGCGAGGTACAGCAGGATAGGATGAACGTTGCATTGTTGCCATAAAATGGAGGAGACTAGTGCAGAGAAATCAGAAGTACAAAAGAGTGTGTTGAGAAGATGATTCTTCCATTTTTTCATACTAACCCATATGGGCAGGAGGAAGAAGACACTTTTGCATATGGAAACATGCTAACCAGAGGTCACAGCAGATGGGCTGCGGTGTATTTCCTTTCAAATGTGCAGAGTGCTCTTTATGGATGGAACCTGCTTTGGAGTGAGACAGGGCAAAGCAGAAAAGGTCAGTTATCTGAAAATCTGTCTGATGTCAGGGAGACACTGTGATCAGTCAAACACCCCAGAATTGGACCTTTTGCACAAACACTTTTGTGTGTTGTGGTGGGGGGATAGTTTGTCCCCATCATCTGATGCCCCAGAAACTGCTCAGAGCCATTTTCATTTTGTGTACTGTCTGCATTTAGTCTAAACCCTCCACCAACACAAGAACAGTGCAACCTTTAAATTCCTACATCTCTCAGCCCCTCTTCATTAGGACCCTAAGAGGAGAAGTACCATTTTCTAAGGAGTTGCTTCATTCTGGAGTTAATTACACCTCCCCCGCCATAACACTGTCCTTCTGGCTTTTATCAAGTTAGTCAGTGGAAGGCTAATTAGTTCCTTATATCCCCTGTCTCTCCTTCTGATTAACTAATTGTTCAATCAGCCATCACTGGGTGACCTAATTGAGGTTACAGACATTGATTAAGGAGCTAGCCCACCTGTCAGATCTCAGCTCTTTGTGACATGTGCCTTCCAGAACTATATTGTTTATTGAGTTTTACATACATTAGTACTTCCCATGTAACAAGTTAGAGCTGGATGAGACCCAAAACACTGAATCTGAACTAATGCAAACTTTAGGGAAGACTCAAATGTTGTGTCTTAGAGCTGATTTTAAACTAGTCCTGTTTGGATCACCATATCTGAACAATTCTGAACTTCGAGGATATTTAGATCCTGGGCTGGTTCAAGATAGCAAAGTGTTGACTTGGGTCTAACCTTAGTAATGAAGAATTAGTATCAGGACCTCAAGATTTAGGCTGACAGTGTACATTCAGTTTTTAATTAGTACTATTCCTTAGACATGTACATTCCCATTGGCTTATGTGGTCATTTGTTTAAGGTGGAGTAAAAATCTGAGGATCTGAATCATCATTAATTTCCTTGTATAGATTTTAAAAGGAGAAATCAAGGGGAGGGGAGAAGGACAAGACCTGGTATCATTTTGATCTAAATGTACAATTTAGTTTTTATTTCAGTATCTGAACTGGCATCACACTCAGAAGTTTGCTGTGCCCAGTTTTCCCTCCATGTACATTTCCAATATTTAGGTGCACATATAAGTGCTGACTTTCCCTCTAGCTGGGGGATGCTGAAACCCATAGCCCCCCGTTTGCCCCATTCCCCTAGTCCTGCTCCTGTTCTGCCCCCATTCCACTCCTTCCCCAAGCCCTACCCTTGTTCCGTCCCCACCTCACTCCCATTCACCTCTTTCCCCCAAACCCTGCCCCTGCTTTGCCTCCTCCCTTGAGCATGCTCTGACCCCACTCCTTCCTTCCTTCCTGGAGCTTCCTGAATGGCACAAATCAGCTGTTCACAGTGTATTGAAAGGGTGGGAGAGGAGATGGTCAACAGAGCCAACAGTGGGCAAGAGGTGCAGGGGGGAGGGAAGTAGAGGGGGAGCTTGGCTGCCGGAGGGCAGGGCCGTCCCTGGGCATATGCAAAATATGTGGCTGCATAAGGCACCTGAACATTTTGGGCACCAAATTTTCTGGTGTCCCTCTGCAGCCAGATCTACTTCTATGCCCAAAAATGGCCCTGTGTCCCTTCTGCTGCTGGTTACTCTCTGGCTCCTCTCCCTGGATGATCTCTTCTCCCTGCCTCCTCCCCACAATACTCCTCTTGGCCAGCAGCTAGCCACTAACTGAGGGCTTCACCCTGCCAGACAGGTAGGGGAGAAAAACCCTCAGCATCTGCTGCTCTGCTCTGGTCCCAGGGAAGCTCCCAAGCTCAGGTAGAATCTGCGCCATAGAGGGGTGGAAGCCTTATGGGGAGGTAGTGGAGGGAATCCCCAGGTGCCCAGCAGAAGCTGCATGCCAGGGTGGGAGTGATGGAGGGAAGATGCCTGAGGAGGAAGGGAAGTTCATAGCCCCAGCAGAAGCCAGGCAGAGGGAGAGTGGCTTCATTTGCGGAGGGCACCATAAATTGTAAGGATGGTCCTGTTGTTGGGTGCTTAGCACCCACTCATTTTTCCCCATAGATGCTCCAGCCCCAGAGTACCCACAAAGTCAGTGCCTATGGGCACATACTGTAAAAACTTTCATTCTGAGGAGGGAAATAATGAAGGGTTCACTCCATCTATCTGGAGTACGAGTGAGAAGCAATCAGCTGTCTGATGCATTACTCTTGCCAACAGAGATGTCAATGCAGGCAGATGAGCCTTGACATTTTCCAGTACTACAGTGATATGCTAGCACTTTGTAAATTATTTGTAAAAAAAAGAAGTGACAGCAAGAGTTCACTGGAAATGAGCAGACTGACAACCAAAATATTTAAATAGTACAGAGGGGGAAAAGTAAAGTAGAAACAGGAGAAACAACCATCATGTCTGCTATGGCTAATGATGACTTTCTTTAGCACATTTAAAAAGTCAGACATATGGCTTTTTTGTGTCTGCCAATTACAAAGTGACCATATGGCTGTCACAAGGCTATCAAACTTGTGGAGCTTATCACTAAGTTGCCTATGACACCATTAGAGGCCTGGTATGGTAAAGGAGATATAGGAAGATAAAACTGTTGCGACTGGCAGATACTGGTATTAAAGAATTACATACTAAATGTATCATGGTGAGCTAAATTAACCACCATTCAGAGGCATGAGCGTGAGGCAGGTTTATCAGTTTTTCCATTCCTTAATGCCTGATGCCCAAGTTTCACAAATGCAGTCTCAACTATGGAAATTTTTCCCAAAGAACTTGCTGTTATAGTTGGGGGCTAAGGGGAAAATGCTTAATTCTAAGACCTTCATACAAGTTGGCAAATAAATTATTAAAAAATAAACTAGGTACAAAATTAGAAAATAGCGACAGCATCAAATAATTTATTTAAAACAAACAACCTCAAAAAATTTAGAATCGATTGGTAGAAAACTCAGGAAGAAGTGAGAGAGATTCATCTGATGAATAATTCATTATGAATTATTTGCCCAGCTCCAGAGTCCAGACCTGCATTTTGAGAAAAAAATGAAATGTTCATTTAAAAGGTACCAACATTAAAGTGGTTAATATCTAGGAAATCATTGCTGTTGATCTAAATTTATGGTGAACTGTATACAGAAATGGGGTGGCCAAAGACAGCAGGTTTGAGAACCTCATAAAAGGCTTGTTTGACATGACTAAGCAAGCTAGTGTCTCATTCTCCCTTTCTTATCATAGGTTCTCTGCACCTATATTGTTGACAATGAACAACAATACACAGTGTTACTAAAGAGAAAGTAAAGAACAAGTCTTCCAACTGAAATTTCAGGGCAAAATCTGGTTGGTATTCATAATAATTTTTATAAATTGGGCTGCCCAAATTGATAATTTATCAGGCATAGAGCACAAACTTTTGTTGAGACAGGACCCAGTGTGAAAGATATTGTATACACATAAGGCAAAACAGTCCTTACCCAAAGCACCGATCATCTAATAAAAACAAAGGAAAGGTGGAAGACACCCACTCCCGCCATGAATTCTGGCTTAGTGGGCCTAACCACACTATTCTCTAAAAACCACACGTGACTAGACCTCAGTTTTATATCTCATCTTAAAGGATGTACTTCCCATTGCATGCTGCCCTCTACAGCGCTTGGAGCATTGTTAGTACAGCAAGCCCAAACATTCAGAAATCATCAGCTTTTCACACAAATCATGAGATTGGCTTTAAAAACATTACAATTTTCAAAAATACATTTGCAGTTGTTTTATTTGAGCATCTATTGTTCACATTTTTTAACTTTTCTCTGCAGCCACAAGGGTTATAAATTACCTTTCTTTAAAAAAATAATCAAAAGCGGAGATGCAGATAAAAACTCCACTGTTCCAAGAGGTGGGACTTTACGAAAAGAGCATCACACGTGCAAAGTTGGTAACACTACAGTGATTCAGTATTAATACAAAGAAAGGATTTAGACAAGAGCTGAGTGTTTACCTGGAAGGCTGCAATTTAATGCACGTACCAAATAAGCCCAAAGCATCTTAGCTCTGAGATTACAATATGTTCATGACGCTATGTTTGCTCCTTAATTATTTAATTCAAATAAGCAGGATGCAGTGTTTTGTTTATTTCTTGCATTGGATCCCACAATAGTATGGTGCAATTTTTAACAAATATTTGCAATCAATTTTCCAGAATATCAGCCGGAGTGGGGAAATGATAAAGGTTAAAAAAAAGACACCTTGTATAAGTTCTATATTACTTTATCAAAAGAATAACCATAAGCAAACATGATAACTCTGTAGGTATATACATATTACTGTATTACCTCTGTGTATGTAATTTCTTAATTGTACATGTCACATAATGAATCCTCTTTAGGGTATGCCCACACAGCAAAGAAAAACCTGGGGCTGGCCTGTCCCAGCTTTCTGGGCTTGCAAGACTTGAGTTGTTACATAAGAACACAAGAACGGCCATACTGGGCCAGACCAAAGGTCCATCTATCCCAGTAGCCCGTCTGCCGACAGTGGCCAGCACCAGGTGCCCCAGAGAGGGTGGACTGAAGACAGTGATCAAGCAATTTGTCTCCTCCCATCCTTCTCCAGCCTCTCTTTAAACTCTGTTATAGTCCTAGCCTTCACAGCCTCCTTTGGCAAGGAGTTCCACAGGTTGACTATGCGCTGTGTGAAGAAGAACTTTCTTTTATTAGTTTTAAACCTGCTACCCATTAATTTGGTGTCCTCTAGTTCTTCTATTATGGGAACTAATAAATAACTTTTCTTTATCCGCCCTCTCCACACCACTCATGATTTTATAGACCTCTATCATATCCACCCTCAGTCTCCTCTTTTCTAAACTGAAAAGTCCCAGTCGCTTTAACCTCTCTTCATATGGGACGCATTCCAAACCCCATATGTTGCAATTGTTGGGCTGTTTCATTGCTATGTAGATTTCAGGTTTGGGGTGCAGCCTCTCATCTGTCAGAGTCTTCAATCCCAGAAGTCTACAGAACAAACAGTTCTGCAGCCCAACAAGCCTGAGTTAGCTGTGTAGAAACACCCTTAATCTTGTTTTCTAGCTTTGAAATGCTAATATTTCTACAACTGCTTTGTAATAAGGGGGTCTGCCCCTTTCCAGGAAAAGGGGCTTGGGCCAGCCATCTCTGTTTACCTATCAGACCAAGGTGATGAATGCAACAAAGGGTCAACACAGCCCAGTTGAAGGGAGGCTGGCCCCTGTCACTAACTCTGGAGCAGAGAAAGCCCTGTGGGTTCCCACAGCCGGTGCTGATCAGAGGATTCTTACATTCCTTTGAGAGAGTTTTTGTTTGTTTCACTCCCCCCCCCCCCCCCCCAGGGCATGGTGTTAGTCCTTTTTGGCCTGGGGCAATACAGTTCAGCATGCCCACATGCCTATTCGCCAACCAACAGGTAACAAGACATAGACATTTTTGCCTTAGATATAATTTTCAGCTCTCCCAAACCTGAAGAAAACTATCTGAGCAACTATTAACTTTCAAGTGAAAGTGAAGCAAAAAACAAAAAACAAAAAAATTATTCAATGCTGTATTTGTTTTCAAGATGTTTAGAAACCTGAAAATGTAGATTTATCATGACACTGTGGTGTCATTCCAGTGAAAACTGGTGTAGTAATATGGGGCACATCTAGACTACATGGCTCTGTCGACAGAACCATGTCAAATAGTTTACTTGGCATAGTCAAAGAAGTGGGGATTTAAATAATCCCCGCTTCATTAAAATAAAAATGTCCACCGTGCTGTGCCGACAATCAGCTGATCCGGCACAGCGTGGCAGTCTAGACGCAGCAGACAAGGGAAGCCTTTGTCAACCGCTCCGGTAAGCCTCGTTTCACAAGGCATACCAAGTAGTGCCAGGTCTGGATTCAATATCTAGGGGTTTCTCTCCATCCATCCAACACAGAACTGGCTCGAGCCCCCATCCAGTAACCTGGGAAATTCACACGACATTCCTAAGTATCTCTGGGAGGCAATGCTTCCCCACTTGCATGCATAGAGTCTGAGCATAGAAAAGAAAACTTTAATAAAAGGGGAGAGAAGTAATGTGGCATTAATTTGGAGAAACACCACAAACAGAGTTCATAACCAAAACCATGAGTAAACGTCCCAGCTCGAGTAGGTTGGGAATGTCCTTTGCCTCTCAAATCCAGCTATGTAAATGTCCCCTTCACATGCCCAACCCTTCTCCGCACCCCAATCACAGTCGCTGCCCTTGGTCAGGGCAGACCCAGAGTTCAGAGGTGCATCCGCAGAATTCACCTTCCTTCCAGATGCTGGGGGGGGGGGGGGGGGGGGGGGGGCGGTAGGGGGCATTTTACTCACTTGCTGCTCTCTGGTGTCGCTCTGCTGGCCACTCATTACACCTCGCCATCATTGCCCTGCTGGCTGCTCATTATGCCTCTCCATCATCACTCTGCTGGCTGCTCATCATGCTGCCACTGCTCTACAGACCACTCGTCATATCTTCCACTAGCTTGTGGTGGATTTGTCTCCAGGCCAAAATTAGGGTTTTCAGTTCTCGAGGATTTCAGCTCTTGCCCAAAAGCACAGTCTAGCCACAAGAGATTCCAGCATCCACTGGAGTAAATTTCAATACTGAAAGAGACTCCTCATGGAGCCTTTCTTTTGCTCTATCTTTGAAACAGTGGGGAGAAACAGGTTGAAGCAGTCTTACAGCTCATGCCTAGAGAGCCTGTAGTCTGCTGACTCACCTCCCTCCCAAGCTTAATCTTGCTCTGGAAGTTGAGCCTCTGTCCATCCAAGTGTATTTACACTGACAGGGTCTCTCCTTTTGAACTGAGTTAAATGCAGCCTGACTTTTCTGCACTCCCACAATAACTGCAAGCATTGGTGATCACATCTCACGATTTCTGCATTTAGTGTTAATACGATTTGTGACCCCACAAGAGCCAAATTGGTTCCAATGGGTAAAACCCATTCTAACAGCCAAATATCCAACACATCTAAGCAAAGCAGGGGCAATCTGTATTTATGTAAGTACACCCAGGTTTTCTCTCCCACTTTGGCTGGCCATAATGGAAGCATTGATTCATGCCCTCCTTATATAAGGAAGAAACATGTAGCAATCAGAAAAAGTTTGTGAATTTAAAAGGTTCTAAATAAGGTCAAAGTCCCTTTTTGGTGACACTCCTCTGCCTGTGAATGGCTTAGAGGATGTGGGATGAAGCAGATGCAGGAGTATGTGAGGGACACATGCAAGAAAGAACAGGAGGCAGGGCAAAGTGATCTATCCGAGGGCGTTTACCATACCAAGACAATCCCCTGCTTTTCTGTCTGCTGATTCCAGTCCTCTTCCTCTAGAACAGTCACCTCTGGGGTCAACGTGAACAGAGGAAGTGAGTAAATGGGCTAAAGGGGAGACTTTCGGGAAAAGAGGTGAAGAAGGCTAGGGGACTGAGCTCGTAGAGGAGATGTCAACACTACGCTTTTCCTTCTACCTGGATATTTTGAACAGTAATATAAAGTAACTGTGGGAACTCTTTGATATCTGTTGGTAAATATTGACTTTTAATGGTTGCTACTGTATCATGTGAATTTGTAAATACACACACGCACACAATATTGAATTACAGTTACATTCACCAGTGATCCCTTCAAACAAGTCTTTGCCATGACCTCAAAGCAGCACCTGTTGCAGTACTGATTTGATGATGTATTATTACATCCTCCCCAAAGTCACTGACTTGTATACTCTTTCTATCTTGGATAGATTGTTACCACATTAAACAAAATTTGCCTGTCAAACACTAATTAGATAAATGAATGAAATGCTCACTAGCTTGCTTTTAATATGACTTCTGCCTTTGCTGTCAGCTTTATAATGATCTCACTTTGATCTTTCCAAAAACTGGGATCTGACAGGTCAGCATCTAATCCAGTATCAATTGCTCCCTGCTGTTCCTTCTGTTAGGAACAATAATACAGCCATTTTTTTCTTGAAATACTGCTTCAGTTGGCAAACTGAGATCTCTTAACATGGCTCATTTAAACGTTACTCCCCCTGCAGAAAAAAGCAAGTGAAAACTGTTTCTGAAATGCATTCTTAAACTCTGCACTCATGCCTGTGTGAAGCATGAAAACCAGTGTCTCCTGTACTTTATCAGCATTAAATCCATATTTCCTAGAAGTGAGAGCAAAGCTAAAAGGTCTCTGGGAGGCTGCTTGGATGCATCCGGTCTTTTTATTTCCCTTTTATTTAATGTCTCTCAAAAGCATGTGGAACAATGAATAATCAAGAATAAAAAGAGCAGCACCTGTGTGATGCCGTCATTCAATCCATTGTGAAACCAAACAAACTTGCTTGGGAAATTTCTCATTGTTGTCTCATAAAGCACCTGTGTCTAGAATGATTAATCGGTTCACTGAAAAAGAATGAGCCAAATTTGCCTTTCAGTTACACTGGTACAACTCTGTTGATATCAACACATTTGCCTGGTGTAACTGAGAGCTTCTGGCCCATTGCCTGCAATGAATAAAATATGGCAATCCATAGATTTGATATTATGTTCTCCATTGAGTACTTTCCTTTCATGTAGGCAGACTGACTGATAAGCAAAGAGCTATTGTCTGAATGATTCTAAAGTTTCTATCATCCAGAGAAGAATCTCCCTCCCAGAGAAGGACAAAAATGTTGTTTCAACAATAGCAATCTTTAGGATCAATAGAGGTGAGAATCTTCAGCTCCCTATGGCATTATCATAGGATATAGCAGCCTCTCTGGATTTTAATATAACCCAGGAGCCTTAGCCTAGAGGGTGTATTACAGGGCATCAATAGAATTTAGATGTCAGACATGGCTGTTAGCCAATTACAGTTCAAGGATTCAACTCCATCCCTGGGCATCTCTATACATACCGCAAGATTGACATTCTAGAGGTTGATCTTCTAGCGTTCAATTTAGTGGGTCTTGTATAGACCCATAAAATCAAATGCTGAGGGCAGCCCTCACTGGCATCCAAAGCTCCTCCTTTTGTAAGGAATAAGGGAAGATAGTGGGAGTGTGTGCTCCTGTTAGCCTCACAGTGTGTGGACACTGTCAAGACTCGGCTTTAAGGTACGCTGACTCCAGCTGCACATTTTTGTGTATCTTAAGATGACTTTCCCAGTCTAGAATAGACCATACCTTTGTGTTTATTATATGCCATGCCCATCAGAAACAAAGCCTTTGGCCACCTGCTGGAGCACCAGAACCAACGTTTTCGGAAATCTTTATAGTCCAGGGTTACCAATGTATTGGGCTGAGCATGGGACAGGAAAGCCATCCTTCTTGTTGCAACCATCACTTTGCTGGTAGCTTAAGAGAGAAAAAAAACAAGAAAATTAAGAGAAGCTCTGAGTTTGGAAGGCTGCTCCTCTTCTTCATTGGTTCCTATCAGGCTGGTGGAGGAAGTGTGAGGGTAGCACACACTTCAGATGATAGCTGACGGTGAAGGAGAGAAGTAGGGTGGGTGGGGAAACTCCTGTCACCAGCTCAAAAAAACTCTTTAGTCAGGGCTCTGAAGCTGGGGAACAGAGAGTCTAGGAGTTCCTTTTAGACTGCCTGCCAGCTTGTCTTACACAGCTACCTACTCAGACTGGCTATTCTCTGCTCCTGCTGGAGGACACAGGTAGCATAAAGACCTCATGGGATGCTTCTTCCTCTCCTCTGCTCTGGATCCCTCTGGGGTAGAGAGAGGAAGCTATCAGCTGCTTTCCAATAGCCCTGTTTTGGCCAGAACCATCTGACTTTGAACCTCAGGAAATCTTTATCCCTGTCCCTCACATCACACAGTTTCCTAGCTACCTCTGCTCTGTGCCAGGTGTTTCTCTTAGCTGCAGGCACATGCCTGGCTCCACAATCTAACCTCCTGCAATTGGTGGGTGCTCAGGGCTTTTTAAAATCAAGGCATTTGTTTTGGTGCCCAAATATGGATTTTAAGAGTCTAGCTTTAGTCTCATTTTCTAAAATCTTGGCCATCATTGTATTCTGTTTTAGACAAGATGTCAGGGTAACATTTTGCAAGAAATGGAAGGCTCTTTCTATACAGTTTCTGTGACCCTGAAACCCCTTGTCAAAGGGAAAAGAACAGGGGACAAATAACTCTGACCACAGACCTGGCAAATGCACTACACCAAATACATCTTATAGGATATTTATCCATAAACATATAAATTATCTATACAGCCAGCTTACAATTAGAATCATTGTGAGATGTACATATGAGTAATGTTTAAGGAATCATGTATTTATACTGAAAGTATACTCAATGGACTTGAAATAAATAATGTATCTCAGTGATGTCTACTTAGACAGGAGGGAATTGTCATCCAATCCTGTTTAGCCAGTGAAGCAATGAAAAGCGCCATTGTTAAGCCTTGCTCAGTCCCAAGACTCGCAACAGAAAATCATTAAAGGCAACTGCAAACAACTGAATCCACCTAAAGGTAAGAAAGGAACAGTACAAGACATTCATCACCTTGTCAAAATATTTTCTTAAAAAACTTTCAGAATAACACAGAGGAGGGAGAGGTCCTCAAGATCTTTTCACTGAGGAGATATTTTGAGGACTGAGGCACTCATGAAAATGTTGATCCTGGTTCTCGTGAAGTCAGCCAGTTCTGCAGACTGACCTTTGGAGGTGGCTGATGCCTACTTTATTAGATAGGAAAGACAATTATTAAAAAGTGTAGACTCAGGCTCACATTTGCCAATTTTGTTTTGTATTGTAACTATGTTTCCATCAATCTTTTTCTAGTTAAATATATTTTTTGTTCTTTAATAAACCTGCTTTTGCTTGATTCTAAGTGTTCACAAGTGATGTTTAATTTACAGGAGTGGTGGCTTAAGATAAAACTTGTAAATTGGGCACACTGCTCTTTTTGGGACGGAAGTTCTGGGATTTCTATGTGTAGACAGTGTTTGGGATTTGTGTATCACAGAGGAACAATTCAAAGAGACTCTGGAACCTATGCACCTATTGTTAAACTGCATGGTGACAGGGCTGGTCTAGTCTAGATAAGAGTATTTGAGTGACAAAGGCTGGTAGTGGAAAGTCAAAGACTGGAAACAAAGTCATAAAAACAGCCTGAGAAATGGTGGGAGAAAGAGAACATGAAAATAAAAGTCAGAAAAAGAGAAAGGAAGAATAAAGAGTGTAGTTCTGAAATTCAGATAATCAAATCTCACTACAATTGATCTTAGTCAAAAAGCCGAGAAACCCAGGAATACAGTAGAAAACTTTTTCCTTGCATGGCTCCTCCAGCCTATTCATAAGCTAGAAACAATTGTGGGTTGCAAGTAGGATGAATTCTACCCTAGTCCTAGGCTTGTCCCTAACACTAAAGTCTACATTGATTTCAATGCAGGAAACACTTTAAATTATACACAAATATTATGCTATTACTCACATATTTGCAATAGTTTGTTAAGTATACTCTTATTTATGCAACATTTACTAAATCTGAGGTCCTTAGCTATTCAAAGTAAGGGGTGCAAAAGTATTAATTACACAGTTATTAAAATGTACATATAGAGAATTGGAAGCGACTGTCTAGGAAGGAGTATTGCTGAAAGGAATCTTGGGATCATAGTGGACCACAAGCTAAATATAAGTCAACAGTGACACTGTTGCAAAAAAAGTAAACATGATTCTGGGATGCATTAACAGAAGTGTTGTGAACAAGACACGAGAAGTCATTCTTCTACTCTGCTCTGCTCTGCACTGATTAGGCCTCAGTTGGAGTATTGTGTCCTGTTCTGGGCACCACGTTTCAAGAAAGATGAGGAGAAATTGGAGAAGGTGCAGAGAAGAGCAACAAGAATGATTAAAAGTCTAGAGACCATGACCTATGAAGGAAGACTGAAAGAATTGGGCTTGTTTAGTTTGGAAAGGAAAAGACTGAGAGGGGATAATATAGCAGTTTTCAGATATCTAAAAGGGTGTCACAAGAAGGAGGGAGAAAAATTGTTCTCCTTGGCCTCTGGAGGATAGGACAAGAAGCAATGAGCTTAAACTGAAGCAAGGGATGTTTAGGTTGGACACTAGGAAAAACTTCCTGTCAGGGTGGTTAAACACTGGAATAAGTTGATAGGGAGGTTGTGGAATCTCCATCTCTGGAGATATTTAAGAGCAAGTTAGATAGACATCTATCAGGGATGGCTTAGATGGTACTGGGTCCTGGGTCGAGGGCAGGGGACTGGACTCGATGACCTCTCAAGGTCCCTTCCATTTCCAGTGTTCTATGATTCTATGTATTTCAGTGATTGAAGGCGACCATCCATAGCTGTAAGAAAAGGATACCTCTATGATTCTATGTATTTCAGTGAATGAAGGCAACCATCCATAGCTGTAAGAAAAGGATACAACTAATGGAATATTTATTGAAGTTTGACCCATCATTTAAAATGTTAGTGAAGGTATGCTGTGTTTTGTGATGTGTCATGTGAAATTGTTGACATCAGCTCTACATTCTGTCTTCGTACTTACATTTCTTGACCCTAAGTATTCAAGTATGGATAAAAGACTGTAAGTACAGAGACACAATCTGGCATGGACTGCATGGAGTTTCCTTGAAGGGGAGCAGCCCCAGCCAAACCACTCTTCGGTCAGAACTTAGGGCATGATCCATTCAGCCACTTAGTTGATCCTGAGTTATACTTTTGTTCTCTCATTTTAAGACTATACTTCCTGTAACCAGAGCTGTCCTGTTCATAGGAGAGTTTGGGAGCCCTATGGAGTCCGCCTGAACTATCTTATGGATGGGAACCAAGGAATTACCTGGGGCCTAGCACAGAGTAGCAGCACCCACCCCACACTCACCACAGAAGCAAGAGCCAGAGTGGCCTGGCAGCCATCAACACCTACCCCACCTCACCACCCTCTCCCAGCCTGCTGCGCTTGGCTTCTCCACAGCAGCAGAATGCGGAACGGCCTGGCCTCAGAGTGCTCCACTTCCTGCTTCCAGGGAGAAGCCAAGCACAGCGAGTCAGCAGGCGTTGGCGGGGCAAAGTGAAGCAGGCTGCCAGGCCACTCCAATTCCCTCCACCATGGTAAGTGTAAGGGAGGGGGAGTGACACCTACTGCTGCCCTGCACCAGGCACCTAGTAATCCCCTGACTTGCATCATGCAGGGGGGAGGCAAGAGGTGGAGCAAGGATGGGAAAGAGCATGATGGGGTGGAGTAGGCAGATGGGTCGGAGTTTTTCCAGGATACCTCCACTATTCTGGAAAAACCCCACAGTGTAGAGATAGCCGTGGTTGCCTCAGGTCCCATGACCCCCTAGGGATGGCTCTGGCTGTAATCCAACATTCTTCATAGTTTCTGTTAACTAAGTATAAATCAAGCTAGGACAAAATAAGAAAGCTTGGTTTGGAGGATACAGGACAATGTAGGCCACTAGTTTTTTAAAAAAACTGTATATAATTCAGTGATAACAATTTACTACATTCCAGGGTTTGGCTGACTGTATCAAGTTTTGACCTTTGTTACTGGAATGAAAATTGCTGAGCAATGACTCAGTTTCACAAGCAATGCAGTTTGCTTTCATAATTAATCACGGCATTCTATTTATAGGTTTATAAGAACTGTTTTGGTTTCCGGATGCTGGCAACGTCAAGTTCACAAGCTCCTAAAAAAGGTACAATAAATGTGTCATCTGCAATACTGTACATTCTCTGCACCTTGGTATGTAATGATGAAAGATATATTGGTGCTTTTGTACAAGTGTTTCATTAACTATAGAGATAACATGAGAAATCAGTCCACTTGCTTTTTTCAGAATATTGCAACATGATCAATACATTTGGACTCATCTAGACTACATTCCTCTGTCGAAAGAGGGATGTAAATGAGCCCAATCTAAAATGCAAATGAAGCACGGATTTAAATATCCTGTGCTACATTTGCATATTCGTGACCGATCGCTGTTTCGAAAAATGGTATTTTGAAAATGAAGCCAGAGTCTAGATGCTTTTTTTTTTTTTTTTTTTTTTAAACAATTCTTTTTGGAAAGAACCTGTACTCCTGAAAAAAATGAGTATGGGTTCTTTTGAAAAAGGGTGTTATTTCAAAAGAACCTGTCTCTTGTTTAATTTGCAGATTGTAAACAAGACTTTACAGTCTGGTCAAGTGCATAGTTTATTCAAATTATAAAATAATTTTCGTCATTTTCACATAGTGAAAGTCAAGTGAGGAAACCCCTGCAGTACACAATGAGGAGAAGAGGGGGGATATTAGCCATGTAGTGACCCCAGAGCTCTTTGAAACTCCCACAACGATAAGCCAGTTCCACCATGAAACACATCCAACAGTTACCCTGCTGCACCTACTCACTCTGTAGCTGAATCTTTCCTTGGTTCTGTCTCGGTGCTCAGTGTATGGTTTCATGAGCCAGAGGAGTAAGGTGTAGGCTGAATTACTATTGTTATTTCAATCCCATCAATATGAATGTGCTTGTTGGAGAAGTTTGCATATCCTCCCCTAGGGCCTGTCTACACTGGGGAGTTATTTTGAAATAACAGGGTGAGCATCCATACTTCCAATCCTGTTATTTCAAAATAATGGGCTTATTATTTCAAAATAAGTAGTCCTGGTTGTGAAGAGGAATATGCTTATTTCAAAGTAGTTATTTCGGGAGTTATTAATTCAAAATAACTTATTTCAAAAATAACTTGCCAGTGCAGACCTAGTCCAACAGATTTTGGAAAAGTCTTGTGTTCTTAATGATACAAGCATCATGCACCTTTTCTTAGCAGCCCACATAAATACCAGAAAAGGGCTCCTTTCTGGTTATGTACTCAGCGGCAAAGATTGGAGGGAAGGGCGCCAGAATAGAGATGTGTGCCATCTATTGCTCCACTTTCATTTGTGAACCCCTTTGCTTCAAATCAGTCTTTTTCTGTAGGTTGTCAAAAATCCCAGTAGAACATGCTTAATGGCCTGGAATATTTGGGAGCGGGGGCACACAGTATCTTCTGTTGATATTTCCGCATGTGGTGAAGACATGTGTCATGGGCGCGCCACTCATCGTTAGTTGGGTGCCTCCTCTTGGCCGCTCTAGGGATTAGTTCTCAAAATACCCCCTCCTGTGATCTGCATGTTGTTATGCCATCTCTGCAGCTCTCCTGTCCCATGAGCCGCAGTGTCCTCTTCACAACTCAGTCCTCTGGCTAGATCACCCAGTCCTGCACTACTCTGTCACTGCCACAGTGACCCAGGCAGTCCTCCTGTTCACTGCCCTGTGCAGGGACCCTCAACCCAGCAGTTTATGGGCTTTCCTTTCCCAGCCCTCATTGCTCCTTCCATGGTTTGCTTCCTACAGCTCCTGATTCCCTTCCTTTCTCTGGGAGTACCAGCTCTAAACCCTCCTTCCTCTTCCCAGGAAGTGACTGCCCTTTCCTAGGAGCCCTTGTCTGTTGCCAGCTTCCTAGCTTAGCAGAGCCCACCTATACGAGAATAGCTGAATCTGCTTGGAATCAATTCCCTATTCCCGAGCTCCACCTCCAGGTGCATCCTCTGGAGTTAACAGGCTTATCTGGCCATTTAACCCCTTCCACATAACAAACATGCCCCCAGCAGTATGCAAGAGGCAGCAGCTGTACAGCAAAAAAACTTCAACCAAATTCTGTAGCACTGAACACTAAAACTAGTCCAAGTATCTGTTTTGATGTTGACTGGGAATTAGCCCCTCAGCCCTGGAGCCCCCCCCCCCCTTTCAGCAGGTGTCACACCTAGGTCAGTGCCCCTGCACTCTGGGGTCCTCCCTTCCCAGGGAACCCCAATTCTCCTCTGCCCACCTTCCCTCAGTGGCCTATTGCTCTTCTTCATGTAGCCTCTGCCAGAGGGGCAAACTGCAGTCTGAAATGGCCACTCATCATTATGTAAGGGGACTGTTAGCCCCTTACTAAAACACATTGGGAGTTTCTGGTTGGCCAGCTCCCAGTACCAAAAGGGAAAGGGTCCATGAGAAATCAGGCCCTGGACTGACAGTCCCCAGGGACAAAGGTCAGCCTGATTGACAGGTTGGACAGACCAATGAGGGAATTAGGTGGCCAGGTCCTGTCCTCCGTGCGAGCTGGGATTTTCTGGGTCTCTGAGTCAAAAGGGGGAGAGAGCGAAGAAGAGGAGCAAAGAAAGCCAGCTGTGCTGAGGAGAAGACCTGCAGCGACAAAGCGCAGACCCTGTGCTAAGAAGCAGATCTGCAGTGACCGGAGCCAAAGGGTCAGAGAAGCAATGCTAGGAGCTGGAGGCTGGCAAAACAACATAGTCTGCAACTGGGTGTGGTGAGCAGCTGGGACCAGTGAAAGGGGGAAAAGAGGCTCTGGGCAGGGACACGCCTCCAGCCAAGAGGCCCTGCAGGCCAGACTTGGAGAGGGATTGTAACTCCAACTAGGAGAGGGGTCCTGCCAGCTAGAGCCTGAAGTCATGTGGTCACTGCCAAGGCAAGTACAGGCAGTCCCCGGGTTACGTACAAGATAGGGACTGTAGGTTTGTTCTTAAGTTGAATTTGTATGTAAGTCGGAATTGGTACATATTGTAGGGGAAACTCTAGCCAAACATTTCTCCAGAGCTCAGTTTTATTCTCCCACACCTCACTTCCCTCAGTCCTTTATTCTCAAGCTGAGGTGTCTGCTGAGAAAAACCGCTCCGCATCTCCCTGTTCTTCTGGGGGTGGGGGAGCGCATAGCTTCGCGTCTCCCTGGTCTGCTGGGGGGAAGCAGCTAGTGCGGGGTTGCCTCACCCCGTTTGTAAGTAGGGATCTGATGTAAGTCGGATCAATGTAACCCGGGGACTGCCTATATATGAATAGTTACAAAATGTCCTGAAATAGATGTTGAGATGAAACACGATCCTGTATTCTCCCTGACATTCATTGTGGGCTTCTCCCATTTTAATGGATCCTGTGCCACAGAGCAGGGCTATGTGTTCTCTTTTAACCTCTCTCATTTTTTGCTTATTCCTTTCTTTTTAATCAGTTGCTATTTAATAAATTGTACTTGCTTTGAACTGTATGTAATGATCACTGGGTCAAGAAAGCATCCAGTGTGAAGAGAGCACTCTGGAGTGGGAACACTCTAGCCCCTGCGCTAAGTAACTATATTGGAGACTAAGCCCCAGAAAACCTGGGCCCAGCCTTGTTGGGATTTCAAGGACTCTGCTGCTCAGGAGAGTGGAAGGGGAGCCCTTAGGGCCAGGGAGGCCTTTGGGTAAAAGAAGTGGGAGCGGGGACTCAGATCCTTTCACTGGTCCATTTCACCAGGGTAGTATAGAGGCCAGGAAAGTTCCCCACAAAAGCGGGACCATTCCCCCAGTTACAATTAGCAAGGAGGCGTTGACCTGCTGCCTTTGCCTACCATGGCTGTTTCCCTGCAGCCCCAGTAAATGCAGGCTTTGCCCTCAGGCCCTGAAGCCTGGGAGTGAGGTCAGTCCAGAGCGCCTCAGCTCTTCTCAGGAAAGCTCCATCTTCTCCGGCAGCCATGGCCCTCCTGCTCCCCAGGTAGAGCAAGAGTGTGGGTATTTTCCTTCACTCCAGGAGCCTTTGTTTATACAGCCCCAGCTGAGTCCACAGCCCAGCCCTCTCCCAGGGCTGGGTTTTCCCCTTAAAGGGCCAGCGTGGGGCAGATGCCCTGTCACAGATGTGAAATGTGTCTCTCATATGCGTCCATATAACAAACCAATGCTTGTATATTGACAGCATTGTATTAAGTAGAAGAGCTGTGGGGTGGGTTCTAAGAGTACTAACAGGTAGTGTTGCCAGATGGTTTAACAAAAAATACCAACACCCCCCGCCCAAAAAAAAAAACACTGGGGAAAAATTCTCTTGAGAAAAAAAAAAGGGGGGGAGGGGAGAGCAATGTTGCTAACCAAGAAAAAAAAACCGAGAGTTATTAATCAAAAAATAAAAATAAAATAAAATAAAATAAAAATAACCCCCCAGCATGGCCTCTTTAAGAAATGCCTTTGAGGCTTTTTTGTCCTAACAGGCTGCCAGTGGTCCTCCGCCATCTTGTCTCCCTGTGGAACCACGTAAGCACAGAATTTTCACCTCCTGGCTGGTAAAAAATGAGAAAACATTGGACATTTTAGGTGTCTGGTATTTTCTGAATTTTTTTTACCAAACAGGAGGTGAAAATACCAGACTCTCCGGGTCAATACCAGACACCTGGCAACCCTACTAACAGGGGACAAGTTGGGTAAATCAAGCTAGGAGGTGGATAAGTAAATCCCACTGTCTCCTTTTAAAGCTGGGAGAACTGCTTTAGAAAGGGTTGGATTCTGATCTCCATGGAACTACAATACATTTACTTTTATACGAATGAAGGGCAGAATGTGGCCCTCTTAACTTTCAAACTTTATTTTCTTAATGTTGCAATGTCTCATCAACGTTCCTTTTTAAAAGTTGTTACAGGCTAACAAGTTCCCCATTTCCTGGGAATAGGTCTGTTTAGATACTACTAGATTAGCAAATTCAGTGAATCCAGATTTTGGCTTTTGCAATATTTTCTGAATGCTGAAAGTCATTAGACTTCCATGTTTTCCTCCCTGTGAGTCTCAGGGTATGATTTTGTGGTGACCTGATGTCATACTCAACCACAGAAGCCCATGATCTAATACACCATAATTGTTTAAAAATATAATGTCAGCCACATTGGTTTCCTATCCTCACAGGAAAAATATTCATCTCAAAGAAACCTTTTTTCCTCTTAAATATGGGCTCTTAAAGATGGCATTTAAAATACCAAGTGAACCACAAGGATTACAGTTATTAAACTGGCATGGACTTGATGCTTTTTTCCCCTCATTGAGAAAAATGAAACATCTAGTACATCATTAAACTATCGTAGATCACATACAGAAATTTGTGGGCCTAGGTTTTATTCACACTAAGGATGCTTTTTTATCACTCTAGCAGTTCACCACCTTTGCACTGCCAGAGTGAGGTAAGCAAGAATTAGGCCTTGTGAGTGTCATATATGATTTTTTAAAAATAATTTATAACTTTGAATTTTCAAAAGTTATGGTCAGAAATGGGTAAAACTTAATACAGCTAGTATAATTTTTTTTTTTGAGAATTATGTGAGAGACCATACTACAGCAACATTTCTAATCATTACTTTGTTTTCAGAAACTGGGATTCCATAGATTTTTAATTTAAACTACAGACTCACCATTTGTGTTTGGAGAAAAATAAGTTTATCTTGAAGTCCAGCCCTTTTCCTCAGGGCTTGTGTCCTGTAGAGCTTTCCGGCTTTTTTGCTTTGCCTCACAATGGATGCATTCCCATATATAAATAATAGTGGGACCCAGCAGCACTCCAGAGGCAGAATAAAGATTGGAATTTCCCAGGTCATGCTCTGGAATCCAGCTGTCTGCAAGACATGTGGTAATCTCTCTAACTAGAAAATATGTTTACAGCTGTTTTTTGTTTTCGGAGACATGTTTAATGTCACTGTCTAAATGAATCCATTCTTGACAGACCAAGAAGAGCAGTCGAGAGTACCAGAGAGGAATTTGAAAGCATGTTTCCATATTTCCCCCACTGGGTCCCATTATATTGGGGAAAGCAATACTAGTTTAGAAAAAAATCACCATTAGAAGAATCATGACAGTTTCATCTTCAGACTAGATTCAGGAGGGGACAGTGCACCCCAAGATCAGTACTTCATCTGACTCAAGACAGCATGCTTGAGTCAGGAAAGAAAGCTGGTGCAATGTTCATATTTAACAGACAGCAGCATAGGATGCTGCATGGCAACAAACTCACAGCTAAAGTGCTGCAACCTATACCTAGTAGTTTTGTGGATGGTGCAGTTCATCCAAAGCATTGAGCAGCAACCAAAGCTTCATCCTGGAAGTCAGGGAGAAAAATCAGTTGCCTTCAATACCTCCACAAAGGCCTTCCAGAAAAGGTCAGTTGGGATTTTCCTAATACAGTATACAATATATGCACATATGAACATCCTCACATTCAGGCCAAGAAGTATGTGTATGCCAATTACATCTGTTGTGCTGACACTGGAACCTACCCCCACATGATTAAAGGCAATCTCTGCCTAGAGGTGGATAGTTTAACTACACAACTGGTCAAAATAAGGCAGTTGCAACTACTTCACATGACATAAGCAACTATTTTGCCACTATCACCTCATTTCAATCTGTATGACCACTGCCATTCTATCCAGTTGCCACATACCTGGGAGTGAAACCTGAGGATAGGCTGGACCCAGTACTCCAACTTAGGTCTCACCAGTACTGAGAAGAGCAGGATAATTATCTCCTGTATCTCGCATTTGACATTCTTTTTATGTCTCACATATGCACCCTGTGTGGAATGGCTCATGTCTCAGTGTGCCAACCTCACGACAGACTATCAAACTGAGGGCAGTTATTCCTAGCTTGTGATATTGACTATGTATTTTAGAAAGTTTGTGCATCTGTCTGTCTGTGTGTCTGTCTGTCCATCTGCGAATTCATTTGTTCAAGAGCTCCTCCTAAGCCGTAAGAGCTAGGACCACCAAATTTGGTATGCAGCTTCCTCTTATCATAAGTGAAAGCAAGGTCTGGTTTTGTTGTATCAGGACAATGGAATGTGCGTGGAATGGGATTGTGTTGCATCAAATGGAAGGGGAGGGGTATGAGAGCAGGATCAGTTATACTCAAGAATAACCACAGGGGGCAGCAAGTGCAAGGGACAGTTATACTCACAAATGACCACAATGGGGCAGCAAGTGCCCCAGCCCCCCCCCC